TTTTTTTTTTTTTTTTTTTGGCAGCTGGCCAGTATGGGGATCTGAACCCTCAACCTTTGTGTTACAAGGCTGTGCTCTAACCAGCTGAGCTAACTGGCCAGCACCTAAAGTGACCAATTTCAACTGATCATGATGCCGTAAAAGAAGTTCTAGTTTGGATGATGAGGCCTTTTTCAGCCTTGGAAGGTCTGCCTTCAATCTTACTTTCTAAGGCTGAAAGAGATGTGATCATCCAAACTAGAAATTTCATGGAAGGAATGAGCAGCCCAATCTTAGATCTAAATCAGCCTCCCCAAGATGGGGGCTTGTCTCGGATCTGTCTTCAATGCAGAAGTGACTTAATTTACAACCACCTTTGTGTAGCTGGATTTCCTGGGGTTTGGGTGAGAGCTTTAGATCCATCTTCTGTTTTCCCCTAAATTATGTGTGCAGTCGTGGGAGGATACTCTTGAAAGGAGAAATGGAGAAGCAGGAAGGTTTTATTAAATTAAGGTATATTGGGAACACTAAAAGCATTTTTTTTCTCTCAGCTCTGGATTCTCTGGAGTTTTAATTTTTCCAGCAGTGGAACACCAAGGGGGACTGATCAGGTCTTCCATTTCTAAAACCATGACCTGTGTAAGTTGATTATTTCTGTTTCCTTATAATATTATGATTTTAGGTTATGTGGATTTTTTTCATCAACCTAAAGCTTCCTACTTAAGGCTTCATTCAGTTATCTGCTCCCCAGTTTCTCCTAATGCAGTGAATAGTGATAACAAATAACTCAGTTTTTCCCTTTTGAGTGTTTGCTATCCAGTGTTTTTGTTTTTATTTTCCAATTTTCTCAATAGTCTTATGTACTTATTCTTCAACTGCAGGTTGTGATAGAGCAGTAAAGGAGTGAAGTCCCAGCAGGGATATATTCGAGCTTCTCTTATATGTCTCTAGTTTGGTGAATTAGAAATGTTGGTCCTATTTGAATTCCATGGATAGACTTTGAAATTCTCCACAGACCTAAGTTTTCTAGGCAAATAAGATGGGACTGGGTTATCAGTTGGTCTCAGTATGTGAGGAGATTTCACGTTTGAGAATTTTAGAATGTTTGGAAACATATCATGGCTCTTGCCAAGGAATTTCTGACAGACAAATATCTATTTTGTGGTTGAATATTTTGTTGAACTTGGGTGACATCTTTTTGATTTGAGTCATCCTATATCAATATACACTCTGGAAAAAGAAAAGTGTTGAGGGAGAGATGGAAAGTGGCGATGAATGAAAATATTATCCTAACAAGTAGATGTGTTGATTTCCAGAAATGAGGACGACCTTCGAAATTTTGTCCAACCATATATATTAATGTAAAGGATTAAGTCTGACATATCCATAATAAAATGGATTTTTAAAATTTTTATTTTTATCTTGG